AACATTACTTTCTTATTACAAGTAACCAGATGATGTTATCACTGGCTTTAATAAAACGTATTAACATTACTTTCTTACTACAAGTAACCAGATGATGTTATCACTGGCTTTAATAAAACGTATTAACATTACTTTCTTATTACAAGTAACCAGATGATGTTATCACTGGCTTTAATAAAACGTATTAACATTACTTTCTTATTACAAGTAACCAGATGATGTTATCCCTGACTTTAATAAAACGTATTAACATTACTTTCTTATTACAAGTAACCAGATGATGTTATCACTGACTTTAATAAAACGTATTAACATTACTTTCTTATTACATGTAACCAGATGATGTTATCACTGACTTTAATAAAACGTATTAACATTACTTTCTTACTACATGTAACCAGATGATGTACATTGAAAAACATATATTAAACCTGATGAAGCTCAGATTGGTTTACAATTTCTTTACTAACTTCATACTTTGCACTTTTCAAATGAACTAAATGTAAAAGATTAAGTGCTTCAAGTTCCACCCTACAGACACTTTAATATTTTAACACACAACAGTTAAATGTTTAAGTGTGCTTTTTCTTATTTAAGTGTTTAAGTGTGCTTTTTCTGTAGTTAAATGCTTAAGTGTGCTTTTTCTGTAGTTAAATGCTTAAGTCTGCTTTTTCTGTAGTTAAATGTTTAAGTGTGGTTTTTCTGTAGTTAAATGTTTAAGTGTGCTTTTTCTGTAGTTAAATGTTTAAGTGTGCTTTTTCTGTAGTTAAATGTTCAAGTGTGCTTTTTCTGCAGTTAAATGTTTGAATGTGCTTTTTCTGCAGTTAAATGTTTGAATGTGCTTTATCTGTAGTTAAGTTTAAATGTGCTTTTTCTGTAGTTAAGTTTAAATGTGCTTTTTCTGTAGTTAAATGTTTAAGTGTGCTTTTTCTGTATTTAAATATTTAAGTGTGCTTTTTCTGTAGTTAAATATTTAAGTGTGCTTTTTCTGTAGTTAAGTGTTTAAATATTCAAATCAAGTCCTGAATATCATATTGGCTAGCTTAGGCTATTTAATTCCTTTGTGAGTTATTAGGTAAGTATCTACAACAGTACACAAGGAACATTGCTACACATACTACTACAGGAAACACAAATCATGTTTCAATGTTTTGTTTTTCACACCATACATTACAAGGTACACATTACTTAAGTCGAGATATCAAAGAGTAAAAGGAAGAGATGACTGTTAGTTTCACACCTTTAGCAGCAGAAAGCATAGTTGATGCGAGAGAACACTGTTGAGCTTCAATATGTCCTAATGTGAACCATCGAGGATAGTGGGCAAGAACAGCAGTGTTTAATCCAATGCCTGATCCTGGTTCATCCTGTTCTTCTTGCTCTTCCAAGATAGGAAGTCTAGAAGATTCAAAACTCTGACATCACATACACCAAGTTTCTAAATACTGCTTCCAACTTTGAAAATAGAACAGATTCTTGTTCAGTGTATTCGTATCCTTCAAACCAAAATCTACCCTGTACAATACAAGTTGTTTTCTGTGGTCAGAAAATACAATGTCACTCAAACCAAAATCTACCATCTACAATACAGTGTGGTCAGTGAATAAATGTCACTCAAACCAAAATCTACCATCTACAATACAGTGTGGTCAGTGAATAAATGTCACTCAAACCAAAATCTACCATCTACAATACAGTGTGGTCAGTGAATAAATGTCACTCAAACCAAACTCTACTGTTTACACTGCAAGCTGTCTTATTTTATCAGAGTATACATATCCCTCAAACTGAAATCACAATAATGGTTTTAATATTATGATAATCTTTCCTTCACAAAACAAATCAATATTATCATTATTGTTTAATCAATGCGAAATCATTCTAATATGCTGCTTTTACACGCTAGGTATTTAAAAGAGGGAGTTTAACTTTAATAATGTTCTATTGTCCACAATGTCACAGCTATTTGTTCCCAAAGTTTTTCCAAGATCAGCCTGTGGTTTAATAATTTAAAATGTTTTTATTTATATTACACAAACCTCATGGCTCTCAGTCCTACACTGTATGCAAGATCAGGGTCGTAAGGCAGAAGTGCTGTGAAAAGATATCTGGCAAAAGTGTGCATTGGCACGCTTTCAGTGTGAATCCTGCAGCCCAGACCACTGAATGGTCCTCCTAGAAACCAAAAAATATTGTTTAACTACAAAATGGATAAAAGACGTACCTAAATAAAACAATGAGATATTCTATATTTAACACGTGTTATTTGCACATTTTCACATCAGACTATAGTATTAATTACATCATGATCCTGTAGCTACGTCATACGACAGATACATTAGTTTAAACACCAACAGTTGCACATTTTCACATCAGACTATAGTATTAATTACATCATGATCCTTTAGTTACATCATACGACAGATACATTAGTTTAAACACCAACAGTTGCACATTTTCACATCAGACTAAAGTATTAATTACATCATGATCCTGTAGCTACGTCGTACGACAGATACATTAGTTTAAACATCAACAGTTGCACATCTTCACATCAGACTATTGCCTTAATTCATCATGATCCTGTAGCTACGTCATACGACAGATACATTAGTTTAAACCCTTGTCATTAGCAGAAGTGTAATTAAGAGCTCTTACAACACTGCACCATATAATCAACAGAATGCAGCTTGGTAAACTCTCTAAATTTGAACGTTCACCAGAACGGTCAGACCTGAATAAGACAGATGGTATTTCACACACAGCATGAGCAGTATTCCTAATCATGGAACACTGTTTAACCCTTCTATTAACCATGAGAGTAATTATACTATGATTTTTGATAATGTATGCATATCTTTACAAAATTTAGCAGACTATTGGTAAACATTACAAGGTTTTCGTACACAAAATATCAGGTTTTTAAATTAAGTATCAAGATTTTTTTAATTAAAGATTTTCTCGTAACCATTTTTCTTTCACAATGTTGACTATCCAACATGCACAGTACTTTTGATTTTACGATTACAAATACTTTAATGCATTAGAACGTTTTCAAATTTCACATGTGAAATCTTTATAATCTCCAGATAATTATCTTTTTTTTTAAAAAAAAACTACATTTTATTTTATATTTTCAATACCGTATTTATGTACGGGTTGGTTCAATTTGATCGGCTTTGTAACCTCATTAAAAAATTAGGAAAAAAAATATAAATTATGACTACAAATTATAATACAAAAATACAAATATTTAGACTGAATAGCTCATATCATTATACATTTATATATTTATTATACTTACCTTCCAGCCGTGCCTGGCTAACAATACAGAAGTTACACAGACTCGTGTTACTGTATCCAATAATATATAACTGACCTTTAGTTTTTACAAAGTGATCTGTCTTGGTTGTGTTTTAGTGGACTAATATTTTGTAAAATACAGTAACATTTCAATTATTCTACATTATATGTATATATATAGATTATAATTATTTACAAATAACTTCTTGAACTTAAACTTCTTAAAACATAGAACAGTAAATAAAGAAGTAAAGCAATCAATTATCTCTTCTAGTTATGACCTTTGTACTCAGTTGCTGCCTGTTGTAGCTTGCTAAGCCTTAAGAGATTTTGCACGTGGATGATATGAAACGAAATAACTTTCTTTAGGTTTTATATATACACTTGAATAACCAAAAAATCATAAATTACTACACTGATACCACAGAATTCCACTACAACTTATCAAGCTTAGTAACTAAGATGTATTTCAGTAGCAAAAAATGTGAAATTTCGATCAGACTAAAGACACAAACTACCTCCTTGAAATCTTGGTTCAAAAGAACGAGCTGGCATCCTAAAACTTTAAAATGGCTGAGAAAGCCACTAGGTGGACATTCTTAGCTTTCAATGGTCATTCACATGTCATATATAGAACTATGGATATATAAGGGACCATTTCCAAAAATGGAAAGAGGTGAGTGGGGCCACTGCATTTCATTCACTACACGAGTGATATTTCAGCAAACAGAAAAAATAGGAGGTTCTTATATTACATTCTAGCTTGTCAATATCGGTAATTTAAGTTCCTAATTCATATAAAACTACAGAATGTGTATTTTAACATCACAAACATCTAATCTGAACCAGTGCTGCATTCAACATACCCCATAACACAAAAACCAATGTTTAGGTGTCTTTTTTTAATATTTACTTTTAAATTAAGAAATTAAACAATATATAACACTAAAATTTGAATTATAATCTACAGTTTGATACTAAATTTAATGACAAAAATTCATAAAATAGTAGTTCAATAAAATTTTGAATAGGAGTCAACAAAAGCAATGACATGACCTTTGACCCGTGAGGAAAGGGTGAAAATAATAACTACAACCAAATTTGAGCCTTATATATTAATTAAAAAATTTATTTGGGTGTAAGACTTCCCCCCTTCTTCAAAAAAACATATAAATATTAAAGTAACAATGATTTCATTTCAAAATCCACTTGCCTTCAAGTAGCAGCATGGCCTGTTTTCTGAGCACAGCTACTAGGGTACCGTCGAGTTCAATGTCCTGCAGTTTGGTAATGAGACGTTCTTCCTGCTTGCATGCCTTTTCCTGAGCATAAACACCTGAGGGCATAAGTCTCTGTTGTCCTAACCCAATCAGAGCAGCTTCCACAGCCAGAGAAAGGTAGCTCTCACAGTGGTCTCGACTCCCTGGAACCACCATGTGGTGGTAGCGTGGACGTTCTCGACCCGAGCAGCCAGACTCCTCTTGGTTGGTTGTGGTCATGAAGTCTAAAAGAACACATCTGACTTAAACACCACCATTTCTTGTAAAATGAATAATTTTTAAATTATTGCATTAAATATACTTAATGACAAAAACTAAAAGCGTAAGTGTTCAATACCAAAAGTAGAATCTTGAGTTTTGTTTTAAATTTGCTTCACTATAAATGGAAATAGTACTTAATATTTCTGTTCTACAACTTCACAGACAAATTTATATTATTTTTACTTAATAAAACAGTAACTTTAAAAAAGGGCATTAAGTAGATATATTTTTTCACCTTATCTTAAGAATTGAAAAACAAAAAGTCAAGACTTGCACCACACTTACCATAAAAATGGTCAAGACATCCTTTACAATCAGGAATTAGTGAAGCTTCTGCTAAAGTGTCGAAAAGGGAGCCGATGGGGTCCAGTGGATGTCCCACCCATCCTTCTGAGTTGGAATGAGTTGGTTTAACAGTAGATGTTCCCGAGACTGATGGCTGTACTGCTGTAAATCAAACCACCCATAGTTTTATAATATTACTAAATACATAAACATTTTTACCTCAAGCAAAATACAGATAAAAGATCAAAAGATGAGTATTTGGGTTAGTTTATACTGTGATACAAGATGCTAGTTAGGATTAGTTTATATTGTGATAAGGATGCTAGTTAGGATTACTTTATATTGTGATAAATATTCTAGTTAGGGTTGGTTTATATCATGATACAAGTTGTAGTTAGGGTTAGTTTATATTGTGAAACAGGATGCTAAATAGGGTTAGGTTACATTGTGATAAAAGAATCTAGTTAGGGTTAGTCCATATTATGATACAACAGGCTTGTTAGGGTTAGTTTAC